AGCGAGCCCCCCAGGGAAGGCGAGGCGCGCTCCCTTTAGGGGAAAGAGCAGGGGGAGGGTGGGAGTGAGACGCGGATGCTCCTGGGCAGACGCTGGTGAGAAGGGGGCGATCTCTCTCTCCCCCGCCCCAGCAGGGCCGCACGGTCTCCGAGCGAAGCGGGAGACTCGCAGGGTCGCCAGCCGGGGGCTCTGTGGCCAGGAGCCGAGGGGAGGCTCCCCTAGCTGGGGGTGGGGTGGCCAAGGCACGGGAGTGGAGGAAGCCGCCCCCGGCGCTCACCTGTCTCCATGGCTGGCGGCCCCTCTCACGCGCCGAGACACCCCGAATACAAGATGGCGGCGGCCCCGTACTGGACGGAAGCCTCACGGAAGGCAGCACTGGTGCATTCTGGGAAGCCAGGCGCGGCGTGGGGGCGTTGCTAGGGTAACGAATACGCTGGCCTCAGGGTGGGGGCGGGGAGCAGTGATTTGCTCCTCCTCCCTTTGTGTCCTGAGTGCGGGACAACTCAGCTCCCGAGCAGGGCTGCGGTGTCATGACATCACAGTGCGCCAGGTGGATGACGTCACAACCCTGGGGGGGTGTGGTGCTGCTCATGACATAAAATCAGGGAATGCTGCATCGATCATGACATCACAGTGCACTAAGTGAATGACATCACAGCAGGGGGGTATTGCGCCCGCTGTTCATGACCTCACACTGGGGAAAAGCTGCTGCCTTGAGCATGACGCTGCACTATGGCAGTGGTGTATTGTTCCTGACACCACAGTGCTGGGGTGCCATGCTGTGTAGGATACCACATTGTGTAGGTGCCACATTGTATGTGACATCACAATCAAGGGCACTGCATCACAATGCAGGATGTGTTAGGAACAGCCCGGATGGAACTCATTGCAGAATCAGATACTAAGATGGGACATGATAACTGTGTGCAATTTGCAAACACCAAGCAAATGGAGGAATTATTCAGTGTGGTACACAGGGAAATAACTGAAAGTGATTAGGTGAAAATAAGAGGGATAACTTAGGCTGAATATCAGGAAACACTTCCTGACAGCGAGATATACTGGGTTGTGGAATAGTCTCCCAAAGGAAGTGGTGAAAGCCTCATTGCTCTGGATTTTTAAAATTGGGTCATAAAAACATGTGCTACAGTGTCAGAGAAAGAGCGAGATCAGGTGCTCTAACAATTCTTTCTCTTCTCTAATATAATACTCTGATGATGATGATCATAACAATCAATCTCGTGTACAGTGGTTTTCATCCATAGATCTCAAAGCAAATTGTGTATATGATTAACAAAACAACATTATTTTTAAAATCTCAAATGACAAACCCTTTGTAAAAATGTTGATAATTTTTATTCACGAGTTTCCAATAAGTAGGCAAAACTACAGCACACAGAAGGGAAAATGGTCTCTCTTCAGAAACAACACAGAAAATAAAGGTAGAACATGATACAGAAAAAATAACACAGGTGAGAACCCACATTTTGGAGATCAAAGGCTTCATACTGCTCCCAACAAAATCAACAGCAGGGAGCATGATTGGGTCCATAGTTCACCATGTTGGTTAAGGGGAAGAAGTAATATATTAATGTATTTTAATACCAAATGCAGCTGTATACATAAAAATAAATCCAAAATAAAAACAGCAGGAAAATGTCTCCTACCTTTTGTACCTAGTCTCATATCCCTTGCTCAGTCATAGCTGCCTATAATTTTAAAGTTTGCATTGGGCTGCTAAAATTAAAGCACAAACTCTAGAATCAAAGGACTCAAAGTTCAGTTTTGCATCAGTAACCTCCCTTTGCAATCAATGGCCTCGATTTGCACTCTTTTTCAGATGGTGCTTGCCAAAAAATTGTGAGCTTTTGCTTTTTGAAAAACAGTGCTATATATAACATTTGTTTTGTAGTGATTATAATGACAAATAAGAATTTTTTATATCTACATTTTTGAAGTTTGTTCCCTAAGAAATTATAATTTTTTTCCTTTTTTGCCACTAATGTAATTGACTATAAGGGTTAAAATTCTGTTAGTATTATCCAAATGAATACTAGCCATGTGACCTACTACCTAGATAAGAAAGTAGGAAATCTTTAGAGACCATATTCTTCACAGTTCTTTGCGACCTCAAAGATAATGGCAACACAATTTCTGCAGGAGATGGACAATTTAAATATAAGTGACCCCAAAGAAATGATGAGTTTAGCTATAAAGTGGGTACAGAAGACATTTCCAAATGTGGAATCAGTTACCACAGGGACATTGCAATGCTGGATGGAAGAGAAGCCAGAGGAATTAATCATTCTCGTAAGTGATTATTACCTATGCATTAGAGCAAGTACTCTGTAATTAAAATCAGTCTTGGTCTCCTGACTACCCAATTTAAGAGGGTAACATTTTTCTATGTTCAACAAGTATTTTGTGTAACCTGGCTGTTCAGGTAGAATTTTTTTTTAATTTATGATCTTATGTCAGATCTCTCTTTTCTCTTCTCCCTTCACGTCTTACCCTTTCCACATTGCACAAGTAGGGCCTCATAAAGCAGGGTGCAGTATAGGACACTAATAACACTTTGCCCCTTTATAGCCTGGTGTACCCAAGGCTCTCAAAGCATGCTGGGCTCAGTCCTCTATGTAGTTGCTTTTTATCATTCTTTTTTTACCTGATTGTGATGTGTGCATGACTGTGACAAATTAAATAAAAAGAAAGTTATAATCAAGCTCACGCATAGGGTTAGTGCTTCAGCTGCAGTAAACTGAGGTAGCACTGTTGAAGTCAGTGGCACTAAGCGATGTACACCAACTGAAGATCTGGAGGAAAGTTGAAAACCACAGGCTCGCACATGGGATTCTTCAAGAAAACAAATAAAATCTCTCGTCCCGTTATTTATTTACAGGCATTGTTATAGTGTTTCTGGTAGGATCTGAGAGCCATTTACTTATGTTAGGTTCAATTTATTCCTTTAAATCCACTGTATGGGCACCTACACTAGGTGTACACTACACTTTTCACGCTGCCTATCTAGCACTGGTGCTGGTCCTAGTGTAAGGGCCACTGTAGTTGGGGTTAAGTTGTTTGTGCAACTGTGCTATCTAACCCTACGTTAGTGCTTCTACCCTTGCTAGCATTGGGGAATCATTAACATCGCTTTTTTGCAACACCTGGATTTTCCACTGAGGTCTCCCAACCCAGAACCTAACCATCCCAGCTTTAGTGTCTGAGATGTACTGATGCCCAGCATGAGCACATGATGGTGCAGGAAAAAGGAATGTTATAGTGGCAGCATGCTCTTCCCCTGGAAAGGAACTGCTGCCAGGTAAGAGAGCTCTGTTTGACGAGGCCTGTATTTTGTGGAGCTTTTGGACTGGGGTTTTAGGCCTGGTTTCCCAGTTGTGTAGGTCAGTTGGTGGGGTGAGAAGTATATATATCTAGTAATTGTATCTGCAGTTCATTGATTCATTACAACTCCATATTGCACCAGATGTTGCCAAGTTCTAGATTCCAACTGAGGGAACTGAGTGGAGAGAAAAGGTGGGGTGCCAAGAAGCATCTCTAAGAAAGGAAACTATAGTTTTGGCAGGTTACACTGTTAATCTCTTAGACAGGCAGTTTTAATTTTAATTTGAAATCAGTTGCAAACCCCACTTCAAAAACAGCCAAGTTCTTCAGCCTTTTCCTAATGGAACACAAACTATAAAGGTCAGTCAGGCTCTACAGTGAAAGTTTCATTCATCCAAGTTATGTCACAGTGAGAGCCAGGGCTGGATTTAGGCGCAGGCAACCAAGGTGACGGCCTGGCTTGGGGGGGGGCGCTGAGCTCAGGGTGCTGTAAGTATTCAACAGTTTAACAAATGGAGGGGGGGGCACTGAAGACGCTCCTTGCCTGGGGCACCATTTGGTCTAGGGCCGACCCCGGTTAAAGGAGTTAATAAATGGAACTCTCTGAAAGAGCAGAGCTGCATTGTTGCATCAGCACCCTGGGCAGGAACTCCACTTCTGAGGTTGCATATTTATTCCAAATGTTACGTTTCTGCCTAGATCAGCCTTTCAGCTGCCAAGCTAGCTAAGTTTTACTGCTCCTGCTGATGTTACATTGCAGTAACAATGGTATTTACAGATTTACCTAGAACCTGGAATTTTTTTTTTGTAAGCACTTTGCTATTTTTATAGGTTAAAATATTTTAAAATGTCTCAGTTAGGAATTGCCTATAAAAGTATCTGTTACAAACGAACATGTAGCATGGATTTTTTTTCTGGGAATTGGGTTATAAAAACAGCTAAGGACGACTTGTTCTTAGCGTTTGTTAATATAATAGGGTTGCTTTTTTCAGACTGGATCTTTGTGGTTGTGGGATACTGCCATTATCATGTTGAAAAGTAGAAAGTCACTCCCTGGTAAACACAGACTTGAGGCTAAAAGGAGAGATCAGACAGATCCCACGTGGCTGCTTTTCTATTCTGGAATGCGATTTCACTCCCAATAGTGACTTCAGAGGAGAGGACCCTATGAAAAGGTTGACTCACAGGAATCAAATTAGCATGTAGGTTTGCCAAAATCAAGTCAAGAATCTCAGTTCTTGGCCATCAATATCAGGAACAAATTGAAAATCGAGGATAAGAAATAAAGGCCAGGAACATTCTCTGGGGAAATATTAAAAAAAAAAACAACTAGTTAGTTTGTTT